AGGTTCAGAGTCTCTTCTGTCATCCACTTTGGCCTTCTCTTCTTTTCTTGTCTTTTTAGTGATCTCTTGCTTTCTTCATGGATAATGTTCTTGATACCTTCCCATAATTCATCTGGCTTTCGGTCGTTGGTGTTCAATACATCAAATCTATTCTTTAGATGATCTCTAAATTCAGGAGGGATCTATTCAAGATCATACTTTACAACTCATAGCAACCCTATAAGTAAAACTGTCCTGTAGGGTTTGTTGTTGTTGATGTTGTTATGTGCCTTTGAGTCGGACTCGACTCAGCAACCCCTCCTTGGGTTTCTAAGGCAATATCACTACGGAAGTAGATTGCCCAACCTTCCTTCCGCTGTAGGGTTTATGAGGCTGTAAATCTTACGGAAGCAGACTGCCTGGCTGGTAGGATCAAACTACGGACCTTTTGATTAGCAGCCCAATGGTTTAACCTTTGCACCACCAGAGTTCCTAGAATGTGTATTAAACAAAGCTATTTGAAAGGTTCAAAGGATTAATTACACTCCTATTTGGGAATGGATCTTGAGACTGCAAACTTACTCAGCCTTCCCCTTTAGTAATTTTGGACTTTTGAATAAGTGTACCTTCAAACTGACTTGGAATCTGTCATGTTCACAAGTAAAGCAGCCTCTGTACATAGTGAGTATAACATACAAAGAGTAGTAATGGTCTGATTTTAGTACGATACACACACAGGTTCTGAAAGATTTTAGTTTTCTTTTGAGGAGAAAATTGACACACATGCACACACAAGCCTTCCTTTGCTTAGAGACCTATTTTGGAGCCAGGTTTCAAAGGTCAGCATTCATATGGGCACAAGTGAATGGCAGTATTGCATATAATACTGACGTACTTTGACTGTACTTGCTATTCTTACAGCTGACCAACTTCAACATACCTGACACACCAAGCCTGGTTCTTTAGAGTTACAGATGGGCTCTTGGCCTCATGGCTACTTTCTGATTGAACCAGACTGAATTCACCAATATATCTATGTGTTTGGGTTCTTGAAAAATCATAGCTTTGTTACATTCTAATTTATAAAATAGTTGATAGTGTTTCTCCCCCTCACCTTCTGTTCTTTTTTGCTTCTTTTAAAATTGGCAGAAAGCAGCAAGGAGAAAAGTTATTCCAATTGGGTAAAAGTTATATTCCGTTACGGATATTTCTTTTTATTTTATTTTATTTTGATTTGGGTGAAGATTTACAGAGCAAATTCACTTCCCATACAGCAGTTCACATATACTTTGTCTCATGTCATTGACCACAGTTTATCACAATGCAACAGCTCCCCTCCCACATCCTCCCCATAGTTACCTCTTCCCAGTGTCCATCCCTCCATACACTCCTGCCACCTGAGCTGTCTCCCTGTGCATAAGCAGCCCTTCCTTCTCCCATGATTGTTCTCTCCAGGGCATGTGTCTACTTGAGGTAAATGTTTAACTCACATG